GCCAAGCAGTTCTCTAGCCACCCCCAACAACCTGCAATAAAATACCCACCCTAAACAACCCTACTACAAGCCATGGGTACATAAGGTGGCTTGTTTGTGCAAAACAATGCACAGTTGAAAACTGCTCAGGTTCTGATTTAGCCACCTGGTGACCACTGTGATAACAATCTGCCATGGCTTAGCATGACATGTGAACCAGATCACTGAACCATTTGTTCATCTTGGTCAGTACTGTCAGCACTGACTGTAGTAGTTCACCCATTTGTAAACATTCTGAGCTTGCCCACCACTTTGTCATTTCTTCTTGCACAGAAAATCCATTATGGAGGAAAACAGAATGTCTTTTAGTTCATAGTGCTAGGGCTGTCCCTAGCACTGATGTTTTACTATGTTGAGATAGCGTCCTTTAAAAAAAAATCAAAGTTAAATGCTTATTAAAAGGCAATATGGCTCAGCCTGATCTTATGTTAATGAACATGAACCTGATCTTGTGCTAATAATAATTCATTATGCTAATAAAAGAGAAGGAAGAAATACATACCTGAAAGAGAAGGAAGAAATATATTCCTCAAAAGAGGAAAAAAAGACAGGCTATAAATGTAATAACAACATATACACTTTCTTTCTTTCTTTATTGCAGTTTTGAAGGCACTTTTACAGAATGTCTTTTAGTTCATAGTGCAGAGTGCAGTTACTCCCTGCCATGGCAGGCACATACGAATTGCCCTGCTGAGCCATAAGAACTTACCTTTTCACAGGCCTGCTGCTGTGTTCACCTGGCCTAGTAGTGTTTGTCCTAACTAGCTGTAGCTGCTGGGGTCTCTGACAAAGGTCCCCCTCCCCCTCCTCCTCCTCCTCCTCCTCCATTCCCTGCTCTCTTTTCCCTTTTAAATAGGAAATACCAGCGACAGAACCTAAAGCTTCTGCATCCAAAGCGTGCCAAGTTGTAGTACCCCCACAATCCTCTTGCAGCCCTCTAGCCTAGCAATTCTGTGTTGATCAGCCAAAGTCCCTGCGAAGGGCCTAAGCCATGCGTCCTTAAACTATGGCCCACAGGCCAGATCCGGGCTGCCATGCCCATTTATTCAGCCCGCCATAGAGGTTTTGGACTCGCCGCACGCACACACGCATGTGCATGGCGAGGCAGGGGCTTGCTCATGCGGAGATCGTTTTGGACTTGCTCAGAGAAAAGGATCTCCTTGTGAGTAAGCCGGCGCCTCACCGTGTGTGCGCCCAGTGGCAGCTTGCTCACAAGGAGATCGCTCCCCACACTGCCTTGACAGCCCGTGCTCATCGCCAGCACCTTTCAACTGGCCCTGTTAAAAAAGTTGGAGGACCACTGGCCTAAGGAATACATGGTGAGAGATTGCCCTACCTATCACATTTCTTGTGCTTACCATTTGGAAAGCAGCACTGCCAAACTTTCTATGAGTGAGGCAATCCCATTTCTAGCTATAAGTACTTATAGGCATGTAATAGACATTGTTCTATTTGCAGGACCTACCAAATAATTTCTGTAGATGTTATGTAACCATTTAAAGAAAAAAAGATATAACAAACTCAAAAATCTAAAAAAAATCACCCTCTATATAAAATCACCAAAAATATGCAATGTCAGCTCAATAAAAAGCAGTAGGGAAACCAGCCTAATAAAATAGGATACAAATGGAGAAATAATGTCACCTAATAAATACAGGAGCTAAAAAAACCCTGCCAGCATGTTATTAAAATTAAAACAACAACTTTACAAGCGTAGGATAACATTTTTTAAAACAATATTGTATTGAAAGAACACAACTGTAGCCAAACTTCCTTGGAGAACACATTCTACAACCAGGGAACACCATTAAGAAGGCCTTCTGTTTAGTTGCCACACTCCAAACTTGAGAATGAGGGTTCACATTGAGGAAGGCCTCTGTATATTACTTGGGATACAGGTAGAAGAGATGTGAGGAGTTCCATCAAGTATTGAAGCCTGAAGCTTGGAAATGAACTGGAAGCCAGTGCAGGTGAGATAGGACCAAAATATTATGGTCAGATTGCATGGTCAGCTACTACACATTTACCTAATCATGTAAGTGACTTATGCTAGAGGTCAACATAGCATGTTGTGGTGATGATTTCTGCCTGTCTCACTCTGTATCGCTACTCATGACGTCTTGTTCCATTTATCACTGGTCCCTAGTTGTTTTGCTTTACTTTTCCTCCACGCAGTCCCACTATCTTTTAAAATAATTAAACATGTCAAGACTAAATGGTCTATTTGGGATGTTCAGAGTGTCATAAATTTTGTTTTAGTGGGAATGGGTAAATGAAATTAACTCTGTAGGTATATTCCAGACCTACAGTTTGAAATTTCTTAAAGATTTGATTCATGCATTTGCTTTTCTTTTTCTCATTTTGGAGGTCAAAAAGATCATTTCTGTCTATTACAGCAAGTCACCATAACGGTCACTTTCCTTGCTTTTAGAAGAAGGGCTTAAATTTCACCTTTTGGCTGTGATGCCATGAGGTGAGACTTGTGAAACTGCAGAATGAAATGCAAAGTTACTTGAATTTCAAGTCTTCTCACATTTTGTTTTGGTTTCTCAAATATGGGACCTTTTCCACAGTATACTATGAGAATTTTTCCAATAAGTCTAAACAGGTTCATCTTTCTTTCACCACAGTTATACAACACTAATACAAATAAAGATGCTTGATGCCAGTTTGGGTTACTATCTATCTGAAGCAGATAGGACAAAGTTGAGGTGCAAAAAGAACTTAATGCAGTCAGCAGCCAACAGTAATATGGCAAAAACTCGCTAGATGACAGTGCTGATTGTCTCCAGAAGGGCTGTTGTATGTTGCAGGTGGAGGTGTGGAAAATTTGCCACAGAAAGGTTGATCTTCATAGTGAATACCGCTTATAGCTCATCACAGAAGGACGTGTATCCAGCCTTTTGGGGTCAGTGGACACATCTGGAATTTGGGGAAAGTGCTGTTAGTGCACTCATGAAATGGTTGCCTGGGGATGGGAAGGGCAGGCTAGCCCTTTTATAAAATTACCATAGTGAGCAGGGATGGTCACAAAACACCCATTACTCTGAAGGCAAACTAGTGCTACAAAAAGAAAAGTAGCTTGTCCAAGAACTGAAGTGCAAGGCAGAGATGGGGGTTGAACCTCAAGACACAAAACGACTCTTTGGGATCTAAATAAAGATGGCACTGGAGGGCAGCGGTTTAGTTCACAGCCTCCTAGGTGTTTTTTTTTAAGTTTATTTTTAAAACTCTTAAGAAATAAAATAAAAATCAGGAGGGGTAGGCAGCCTGGCATGCACCAAACAAGGCATATTCATGCTAATGGATGCTATATAGGAGAACCCAGACTGTGGGAATCCCCCTTTATCCTTATAAACTGATTACCTCGATCCATTCAGTCTGGGTTCAGGCCCAGTTTTTGGACAAGATTACACCTGTTTTCCCTAAAGGGTGAGCTTCCTCAGGAAAGGCTCAGGGGGAGTAGCACCCCATTACTTCCCAATCTTGCAGTGGCATTTGATCTTGTTGACCACAGCATCTACCTGGACTGTTTCTGTGAGTTGAGGGCATCATTTTATGATTGACACTGGTTGACTGTATCATAGTTGGGGTGCCACATGACACTGTTTTGTTCCCAGTGTTGTTTAACAATCACATGAAGCTATTGGAATAGTCATTAGGAGATTTCAAGCAGGGTAACATCCCTGTAATATCTGGATAAGGAGAGGCTATGCATGTTCAGAAGCTTGATGAGAGCTAATAAACTTAAGCTGAATCTTGACAAGTCAGAGACTCTTTGTTGTTTTGGATTTCAGTTGTTTCCTGTTCTGGACAGGGCTGCACTCACTCTGGAGAAAAGCTACATAGTTTGGGGGTGCTCCTGGAGCCATCCTTGTCCCTGGAAGTCAGGTAACATGAGTGGCTGGGAATGCCCATGACCGAATTTAGTGGGTTCATATGCACGTTCTTGGATGGGGTAGCCTAGCCATTGTGATTCATGCAATGGTAATCTCATGGTCAATGTGCTATATGTGGAGCTGTCCTTGTGCTTGGTTCAGAAACGGCAGCAACGACAATGCTTAGTGGGACACCTTGCTGTATACACACACTTGAGTCCAAAGCACTGTACCGGTGGCCTTTTAGCAACTGAGCCTTGTTCAAGGTTTCACTGTTTAGCTTGAAACAAGATACTTAGGGGCCTGTCCTCCCTCATACTCACCCAGACAATCCCTGAGATTTTCAGAGAAGGCCTTAGTGATTGTTCCATGACCAGTAAAATATCCTCAATATCACAAAAGCAGGGCTGTCTCGGTGGCACACACTCTCTGGAACCCTCCCCCATGTTTACTTTAAGAGGCAGCAACTCTAGAAAGTTTCAACACTTTTTGAAAGAGTACTTGTTAACACAGGCTTTCCCTGGCCTGTAATGGACTATGGCCCTGCTCTGTTTTACTCTTGATTATTTTGCTGTAATATTTTCAATTATGTATTATCTTTGCATTATTTGCATATTGTATTGCACCTGTATTTTAGTATAAACCACTTAGAGATGTTATTATATGGAGCAGTAATATAGAACTCTCTCTGTGTGAATAGCATAATAAAGAATGTACCTACCACCAAGGAAATGCAGTATCTCCCCAACCAAAATGCAGAGTAAAAGGAAGGTATCAGGACTGTGTGCAGAAAGTGGGTAGCTACTCTGTATTTGTTGCCCTAAATACTAATCCCATAGAAAGGCAGTTAAGCTCTGTTCTCTATATTCTCAGAATAAGCAGTTAGTTCTCCACCATTTCCGGCTGGCTGTAAGTTTCCATTACTTCGTATAGGAAGGCATTTTTATTGTCCTCAGTATGTGCGTATGTTTTATGAATGCAAACATGGACATAATGCTTTGAGAGAACATGCACACTCCCATGTAATTTTCCTTTACCAATATTTTGCTTCCCCTTTCTCTCTCTCTCTCATTCTAGAAAGAAGTTCACAATGGCTTCAGCCCCCTGGTTATGTTGACAGACACTTGCAGTAAATTTGGAAGTTCTGGTCCGGTTCAGGACTCATCCCCTGCTGGAAAACCTGACAACAATTTGGGGAAGAAGGCTGGTTATCTAGGAGCGGAGCCCTTTGCTCCAAAAACCTGGAGTACTGACGGCATGGGAGATTCCTATACAGCCACTTTCCCCAATGGGAATGGACTGATGTCTCCATCGGCAAGCCCCCAAGCGTCCACCACTTACAGCAATGATTACAGCCCCTTTTCTCATTCCTTCCCAGCCTCACCCACATCTCAAGACCCATCGTCCCTGCTGGTGTCCAAGGGACACCCCTCTCCTGACTGCCTTCCTAGTGTCTACACCTCCTTGGACATGGCACACCCATATGGCTCCTGGTACAAAGCTGGCATCCACCCGAGCATCTCCACCAGCTCCAGCAACCCCACAGCTTCCTGGTGGGATATGCACTCCAACAGCAACTGGTTGAGCTCTCAGCCCCAGTCAGATGGACTCCAGACTTCCTTGCAGTCCATGCCCAGCCAGGCGCCAATCAGCCCTCAGCTGCCCAGTTACACATCTGAATTCACCACTTTGAATCCTGCTCCGTATCCTGCAGTGGGCATCACATCCTCGTCGCACCTCCTCCCTTCAGGCCAGCATGTGCTGCCACAAGAGATGTACAAGCCTAAGCCAGTGGCGAACAACGCGCTGATGGAAGGTGGGATTGGACTGAAGTCTGGAAGAGGCAGCTCCTTTGGGAGCACGGCAGGCAGGTCAACCTGTGACTGCCCCAACTGCCAGGAGCTGGAACGGCTTGGGGCCTCAGCAGCTAGCCTGCGGAAGAAGCCCATCCACAGCTGCCACATCCCGGGCTGTGGGAAAGTCTATGGGAAGGCATCACACCTTAAGGCCCATCTGCGGTGGCACACTGGGGAGCGCCCCTTTGTCTGCAACTGGCTGTTCTGTGGCAAGCGTTTCACCCGCTCGGATGAGCTGGAGCGCCATGTTCGCACCCACACCCGGGAGAAGAAGTTCACCTGTTTGCTCTGCAACAAGCGCTTCACTCGTAGTGACCACCTGAGCAAGCACCAGAAGACCCACAATGAGATGGGGGTGGGAAAGCCCCCTGAGGGTGAAGCAGAGCGGGAAGAGGCTGCCACGGTGGCCAGCTCTCCTGGCACTGCGTTGCAGGACAGCTTGCCTGGAGATGAGAAAGATGCCACGAGCCCAGAGCAGAGCAGTCTGCTGGAAATCTAGTGGTCCACCTTTGTTACACCATAGCACCAACGCCACTCTCTTTGAATGCCTCTCAGCAAAATAATTTATTTCCTGGGGAAATCAAGCACACATCTGGTGGCTGTTGGCCTTTCCTCCAGGCACGATCCTACCCTGTGTCTAGCCCTTACTTTCCCCTCCAACCCTTGAAGCAAACTTAGCTGAGACTGCAGAAGGTCCATAACTTTGTGACCAAAGACAGATCTCAGAGGCAAACTCTGATGCTAAGCCCCAGTCATTCTCTATACTGTTGTAACCAAAGGCTCTCCCTGCCTTGGTCTCTGCATGAACTCTCAAGAAAATGGACAAGACTCTTGCAATCATGCCATCACATCCACATGAGAGGGCAGGGTTAGCCAGTGAGCAGGCAGGGCAGGAATGAAGTGGGTTTTTCTCAGGGTATGTATAGGAATCACTCTCCATCATGTGTAGCCCACTGAGCATTTGCTTCTGAGCACCTCTCCTTGTGTCTTACAGCAGTTCAGTTCCTCTCGGCAGTGCATGGCAAGAAGAGGGCAAGAGGCTTGGACCCACTTCCAGCCCAGGGCGGAGCACGCACATCCACAGAACACACCCTTGCTCCAGAATGCTCTTAAAGAGACAAGCATGACCTCTGGGTCAGGACATGGCAAATAGGCTTAACAGGACCAGATGCTTGAAAGGTCTCTGGGATCTTGAAGCATTGCAAGGAGGGCGAACTCCCCCAGGGAGGGCTTTTCAGGTACACTGCAGCACTGATGAGATGAAGGCCTGTCTGCTGAAGCTCCTGAAGGTACAGAAGCCATCTCAGGTTCTGGACATGAAATTCCATAAAGCTTGGAAGCTGTTCGTTTGGAATGGATGTATCTCAGTGCAGGCAATGGGAGCTTTGCACGTACTACCCCATTCCAGTTCAAGTTAAACATGTGAGCACTAGGCAACAGCAGGTTCAGAGGACAGTTTTTGAGAGGATAGATGGGTGCCCAGTTGTGCAGCTATCACCCTGTTGTCCACAAGCGATGGGGCCTCCATCTTGCAGCAGTGCCTCTTCTGTTCCTGCCTGCCAATGCAAGACCAGTGAGGGTCATCCAATCCTGGTGGTCAGACGGTGCATTAACATCACTCCAAAGAATGTATCTGCGTTTCACAGGTGCCAGCTTGGCTTATGCTTCTGATGCACCAAGCTGAAAGCATGGGAACAGAAGCTGTCCACATTCATATACCATAGCTGCAGTACTGGGGGACATGAACCCATACAGTTAAGCAGACTTATTCCACTGAAATCCAGAAAACACAGAAATCATTCTAACATACATTAGCTACATAGAGGTAAAGAGGGTTGCGGGGAGACCAAGGCCAGCTACTCTGTAGGAATCATGAAGGGGCCATTAGCAGTCCCACAAAGGTGCTACAAGACCCTTGGATCTTCTTTTCCCCACATATTTAATCAAGAAGTATATTTATGCCTTAAATTATGATGACAAATTAACAGAGGGAAGGAGGCAACTGGGTTCTCCTGGAGGCCTTGTTAACATGAGGCATCTATTATCTAATCAGAGTTGTCTCTCTGTTAATTGGGGGACTGTCTCTGTGTGAAGCAGCATGATCTACAACTTAGTCTGTGCCTTCTTTTTGGTTTGTTTTTGGTTTGTTTTTGCTTTATATGGTGAAAAAAATGAATATTTATAATCTTGAAATGCTTTTTGTTTAAATGCTGTTCATTTTTGAAATATAAAAATGATCCATCAGGATTTGAAAATCCTTATTAATATCAGGAACACACAGAGCTAGTCTGTCCATTGTTGAAGGCTCTGCATTTTGGAAGAGATCTAAACTCTTGTTGAATGGTTAGGAGGCATGATTTGCTTCCGAGATGTCCATTCTCCGTGGAACTACATGCCTAGTCTTCATTTTTCCTTTGTTCTGCCTGTTGCACCTGCATCCAAGCCAAGTCTGCTAGATGAGAGAAGAAGGAACTGCACATTACACTTGACAAGAGGTTGCCACAGAAAACAGCATTCATGGATTAAGTTCTGCCCCTCTCCCAGTAAATAACATTTAGGCAAACCTGTTCCTTATTGTGACATCGTGTTATCTGTTTCCTTCTCTTGCCTCCCCCTTCTTCCCATATCATTCACGGGCTGTCAACAGAAACACACAGGAGATGATGCACAACATGAAGAAATGTGTCCAAACTTTCTAGGGAGAAGGGACCTATTGTTAACAAACAACACCACATATAGAGTACAGCGTCTGTGTAAGATGAGGTACACTGTTTCAGCAACAGAAGGGCAAAGCAACATGCTATGGCACCCCTCCCTAACTTGGTGCCTTCCAGGTGTTTCTAACTTTTTGTTCCCATCACATCCAACCAAGATGGCCAATGGTCAGGAATGCTGGGAATTGCTGTTCAAAACAGCTGGAGGGCACTAGGTGGGAAAAGGCTGCCTTAAACATTGACTGCTTGGTGGAAAAACTCACATGGAACTTATTTTGTTTGGATTTTATTTGTTTTTAATTTAAGAATAAAAACATAAGCTATGCTGGAAGAAAAGAAGATGAAGAAAGCTTGAAAGAGCTCACTCTGTGTTTGGAGGAAAGCACAGTGCAGTACTTCTGTTCGAGAATTCAAATAAAATTGCACTCATTCTGCCTGCAATGTCACTTGCTTCTGGATTGGGCCTTTATATATGCTCAACAGGCTTGTAGGCATCTTGGGTGAACCATGATCTTGGCTTGTTTGTTTTTAAGTCAACTCTTTAACCACAAAATAGACATACCCAGCACAACTGACAAGAGCTGTAGTGTACAATTCAAAAATTCTACAGTTGGCCAAAAAAAAAAAAAAAAACCCGTTATTTAAGACACACGATTAAATGGGGGAAAGAATAAAAAAGAATGTCCACCACTGGGAACCTTCCTCTGCAATACACAGCTACAGGGAGTGCTAGGTCTGCTTTTGGACAGGGGCACAAAACAAGTAGGTCCAGTAAAGGACTGATGGGCAATGTTTGGTGGAGTACCTCTTGCCTATTGCTTCCTGAGATTCTGGACTAAATGGGGTTTGATCTGAACCGCTACTGTTCATAAGAGCAGTGTATCCTTGGGATCTGTTAACACAGATAGGCCTTAAGGGTATGCACTTTTTCTAGCTTTAAGAGAGGAGGAGGAGAAAATGCAGTATGGAAGTCAATTTAGGCTTATTCAAGACTAGTGATGGTGGTTGAGACCCAACAGCACTTCACCATGAGAACCAGAGGTGAAGCTTAAATATGCTCCAGAACCTTACAGAGGATTCCGCCTAGGTAGATAACACTAGCTCTTTGACATGTTGCTGTAGATGATACTCCTTGAAAGTTGAAAAGTGGTTAGGGTACAAGCAATATACTAGATTTCAGTAGTCTAAAGTATTACATTGTTTTGCAAATCACTTATTAAGTATTGTAGAATATCAGCTGATAGAAGTCAGTAATGAAAACAAATCTCATTGCATGCCAAGCATAGTATCTGGGGAATATTTGAAGACTATTATACAACACTGTTGTAGATAGCCTAAGCCTATCAAAAAACAGAGAACAGCTTGAGAATATTCAACAACATTTGCAGAGAAGCGATTGAGGGAGCAGTTTTTGGCAGCAAATCCATTACATTTCTAGGCGAGTACTCTCTCAACAGGGAGACAATCCTTGTATATACACACCTGGGAGAAGTTTGTGCTAGAGTTTGTTCTGATGACATCTGACTTTCCAGCCTGTGTACTGTGGCAGCCAGATGTTGAACTGGAGACCTGGGAGATCTGAGTTCTAGTCCCCATTTGGTCTTGAGGCTCATTGGCTGACTTTGGGCCAGTCATGGAGACTCAGCCTAACCTACCTCACAGAATGGGTGTTGTAGGAGAAAATGGAGAGGAGAGCCTTGGGTTTTCTGCAAGAAGTAGGAATGCAGGGTATAAATGTAATGCAATAATAATGTGTGCAGGCTCTTGGGGGCTGTTTTAACAATGGAGTGGTTTTCAGTCATTCAAACCACCTGCATTCTGAAATGATACAGTTCAGGGACTGTTACCACATCATCAGCTCTTCTCTGATCTAAGCCTAAGTAGAACCCAGTAGAGGCCTTTTGAAATTCATGCAGTGTGTTCTTTGCAGCCTACCGTAACTAATTATCAGGTAGATTGTATTTTGAATAAGCAGAGGCTTGTCACAAGCTGCTCCACATAAAACATTGGAATAACCCAACAGGAAGGTTACCGAGGCTTGAATAACAGAGACAGTTCTCAGACTAGTTTGCAGCTCTGCTGCTTGATGTTTGTACTGAAAAGTTGGTGCTGTTTTACCATCTGTCGCAGCAAAATAACCATATTCACAGAGCTGATGAAGAACCACTGCAGCACCCTTGCTGCTAATGCTGCACAGAAGATATTTTTATGTCTTTATAAAATCATTAATGTAGTAAAAACAATAAGATGGATGCAAAGATTAAAAACCAAAGCCAGCTAAAAAGCAATTCCACAATAGAAGCAATCTCCCCACAACAACTTTAAGAAAAACTGTGGCAAAAAGTCTTTACCAGAGGTTGAAAAGCCCTTAAGGAAAAGGCCAATTCAGGCTTCCTAGAGTAGAGGATTTTACAACCTGACACTACAATAAAAAAGGCCCTGGACACATCCCAGTCCTGATGGTAATGTATCTTATCTACAGAACTGAGATGCAAGCACCGAATGCAGGGCATTTTCTGCTTTTCCATGTTATAACCTCTAGGTGACACCATTGTGTATTTCCCCAATAGGTGAAATGCACAAGGGGAAACTGTGTTTTCTTTAGCCATCAGAAATAACACATTTCCCCTGCACATAAAAACAAAACGAATTGCAGAAATACTGAGTATAGTTTGCCAGCAGAGGCTAAACTGGACTTCTGTTGTGCGTGTGCGTGTATTTACAACATTTAAATCCATGAACAACAGTGAGCAGAGAAAAACATGCACAAAAAATGCTTTGCACA